AATTTTTTGTAGATTCTGTCTCTCACAGTTGAGGTGTACCTACAATGAAAATTACAGAACTGTCCATTATCTGTACGTGGGAAAACTTGAAAAATCAGCAGTGAATCAAATACTTATTTGCCCCACTGTACATACATATATGTGTGTGTGTGTGTTTGTTTTTTTACTTTTTAATCATAGTGCAACAGCTGTGAGTGCGTATGTGTGCACGTATGTATTTGATATAAATACACTTTGCGTGTGTGCACGTGTCTGTGAAGCACCTTTATAAAAGTGTTTTAATAGAACATGTGAAGTGTTAACTCACATACCGTAAGATCTTTGTTTAGTACAGCTATCCAAATAATATATTGTATGCTTGTCATAACTTCTTAACAATGTGCACTATGTTTGCATGTACAGTTTTACAAAGAATGCACCAGTTCCTTTTGTTAACAACTGAGTGTGTTTGAAATCTATATGAAAACAAACTGTACAAAATGGCCTTAAATCTTTCACTGATTTTCTTGGAACTGTGTGATGCCTTCTTCAGACAAATGAATTGTTTAAAGGAATTCATTGTTATCTATTTTGTGTCAGTGTTTCTATTGCTTTCTAGTGTATTTTCGTTAAATTATGACGAAAGAATTCTTGTACTTTTATGAAGCCATGATTAATAAGAGAAAGCATGGTCAAAATACTGATTGTCTGATAATCAATATAATAGATTACTATTTCTGTATTGAACTATGGATTTTTAAATAAATATTCATATTTAACACAATTTGCTGGAGTTTGCTTTGTTGTTGTTTTATGAGATAGCAATTTTGTCCATTTTTTCTTTCTTTATTGTTTGTATTTTCTGCTTTGTGTTGTCTTTTCTCTCATAGCTTATTAGGGCTAATCTGGTTTACTCTCTCTGATACCATAATTACAGTATTCTGTAGTACAAGATAGTCTCCCCACACCAAAAAAATACCCACACAAATAAAACAGGCACAGGACAACCAGTTCTGAGCAAGGCACTACATGCAACTGAAAAACACAATCCATGTAGCATTTAGAAGTTTAAAAAGTGTTGCTCTTCAAATATGAAACTGAGAAATATGTATTTCTCTGTTTTTATTTCTGAAATTAATTGGCATCTGTTAAAAGAGGCAATTAGTGAGCTTGTCAAAGCCCTGTCACTCAGTAATACCAAGAACTAGAGTGTTTATCTGCCGGGGGTTGATGGAGTCGTTCATTAATACTCACTTGCTCAGCAAGTACTTTGACAGGTGCTGAGACCTGATTTTCAGATGTCACGATCCAGTTTGTTTTTGTCTGTATTTTAGGATATTCTTAATCTCACTTCTGCACTCAGAAATTGTCTTTTTAATTGTTATAGTGATGATTTGCATGTTTATATGTTATAGTGATACTGTAGGTTAATAGAAAGATATAGTATGCAGCACCTTTGGCTTTATTTCTGGAAATGAGAGACTAAGTCTTTTGCCCAAATATGCTTGGTTGTTAACAAAGCTGTTGTTTAGATAAAATGCTGTTTGTGTAGAGAGAACTCATGTAGGTTTTAGAGAGAAATAGAGAGGGAAACCTACAGTATCTATGGATGGGAAACACTAGTGTTTATTCTCAAAATTAAATAATTCTGATTTAATCCAAATTGTCAGTCTGAACCTCCTTAAAATTAAAATACTATATGTTGGTGTGAAACAATTGCAGTTCCTGAAATAAGGTAATTATTTGCAATATTAATTTAATTAAAGAAAAAAGAATTATTGTAACAGACTCATATTTATTTTTATTCTAAAATTAATACATGCCTCAAGCAAATCTATGTGGTGAGAAACAGCAGCCTTTTCCAACACTTAGGGAAATTGTTTAATGTATCAACCAAATATTTAATTACAAAAAAGGAGGATTAATTCAGTTACACACACACACACACACACACACACACACACTATAACCACTGCAGCATATGTGCTAAAAGTAACCAATCTGCCATGACACACTGGGGTAGGGGCAGACTGGGACAGACTTTGGAAATAAACCTTGTTGGTAGAGAAACAAGAGCAACTACTAAGTTAAAAAGAATTATTTTGGACATCTAACTAAACTATTGGAGGTAAACTAAACCCCAGCGAATTAATTGAAATAGAAAAACAATAATCCTTATTTAATCCAAATTATCAGGCAGAACTTCCTTGAAATTATGATATGCTGTGAGGAAAAACAAGATCCTCTCCTAAGTAAAAAAAAAAAAAAAATTATTCCTTGCTTCTAACTAATCTATTGGTGGTAAACTTCACTGAAACTAAACCCCAGCAAATAAATTAAAAGAGAAAACAGTCACCCTTAGTATATATTTCCCTTGCTTTCTTGTAAATTACTGGGTGATCTAAAAAATATCGGAATTTTGTTTGTACAAAACCTGTAAACATATGTAACCTATGTAGCCGGGGGCAGAGACAGCTTTGATTTAAGGCCAGAATCATTTATAACCAAAGGTCTAGGGAGCACTGGGGGTTGGTTGGTGCATTGGTAGAGGGAATTAGGGATGTATTGTTGGGTACAGGCTGTCAAAATATTAAAAATTTCACCATCTGAACTAAGCTGAAGACACTTTCTGTCCTGGTAAGACTCTACATTCATCTTCATTAAGTTCAAGCTCTCTGGTAACAAACCTTCCAGCCAAACTAATGACTACAATCTCTTTCACTCACCAGTCATACCCTATGCTTTCTCACAAATTATAATTTCTGTGAAAAGGTAACTTAATTAGTCTTCACCTGCCTTATGTGTGTCTTGATAACAAACAGTGATGATGTGTCACACATTGTATGTTGACTACCTGTCACCATCAGGTCTGTCACTTTGATAACCTTGGCTTATCTTGAATTAAAGAAAAACACTAAATATGTCAACACTAATACAGCTGGCTGATGGTGACAAATGTAATCAAGTACGCGCTGCTGCCCAATCAATCACCGTCAAGCCTCTTGTGTGTATTAGATAGATGGCAGGTCCATGCATTTCCCCCTCAGAAATGCCCTTTAGAGAGTAGACAAACTTGGCTGATGAATTTCTCTTATTACACATCCATATTTACATACATTTGCAAAACAAATT